GTCACAGGGAACCCGCGTCCGAGCTGACCATTGGTCAACCCCGTAGCAGGGATGGTTATTCCCGCGTGTAAATAACCTACATAAAATTTAAGGCCAGTACACGGCTGAGTGTTACGTTGAATGACCATGGATAATGGATGTGTACGTGCTTGGGGTTACCCATAGCAGTCACACTATGACTATGAGAGTGGATTCTCTTATATAGTGGCACATTGCCACATACTGTACTTTGTTCCATTTCCACACCACCTTTGGGGTCATCCATAATCTGCCCCTTTGGGGTGGGAATTATCGACGCGTTATTCTTAAAGTGTTATCCCCAGTAGGTGTATGAAAAGCGATTGTACGAAAAGTTAGAATACCGTTTCTCGACCCCAGACCCAAGGTTCACTTCACTATAATAAAATAAGGAAATTTAAATATTTACTGGGAGCCCCTATGGCCAAGGCGCCCTGTGCTAGGGCACAGGTCCCACACCCTATAGGCTGGCGTTGCTTTATTATCCATTTACTTGCTTTGTATCATTTCTAATTTAGCTTTTAGCTTATTTGTCAGGAACAATCCTGGCTTTAAAGTGAGCTGGGGAGAAAAAAGGGGAAGGCAGGGTTTAAAACTTTGGCATATCAGATCAAAATTACATATTTTGTAAAAAAAAAAAAATGTTTTGGTGATATTTCACTTTAAAAGTCATTACAGTTTTGATGACTCTGATTCTGTCCCAAACCGGTCCCTCAGGTTTTATTGAGCCAATGATTTAACTTTTAATCTTGTCCTTGGGATCAGGTTCTTTTCCAGAAGGCTTCTATCAGTACCACCAGACCATCACCAAACTGAGTCAGATTCTAGACTTCAGTCACACATGTGGGTATGTCACATTGCTGAATCCATACAAGGAAGATGCGCATGATGAAAATCTGGATAATGATGTCTTGGTCGCCAGCTATCCCATGGACAACCCCGGGTCCTCAACAAGTCTTGATGTCCAAGCCACATCAAGTCTGAGTACCCCAGAAAAAATTGTCCAGCCTGCAGGTGAGACTTCTCAGGCAGATAACCCAGACGAGTCAGTATTGCCATGCAATGGGATCAAAGACCAACATTCTGCTGATGTCTTAAATTCAGAATTAGACGAACTTGAAAACAATGCTTTCTCAAATGGAAATGAACCGTCTTCTCCCATTGTGAAGCCCAAACTTCACCTTGACGTGGCAAGGCCTCATTTAAAGTCTCATTCTCCAAGTGGGTCAAGCAGGTCTCCTGAAGCGTTACAGGAGGATGAGTGGGTCTTGTTGGATCTTTGTTATGGCCTCCCTTTGTTCAACACCATTCTCAACAAAGAGGTCTGCTCAAGGATAGCCAAGTTGAAACTTTTTAAGCAGGAGAGGTATGAAAACAGTTTTTATTTTGAATTTTGAAAGGAATGAGTCTATAATTTATGCAAATATTCACTTCTGCTTGGCCATTTTTGTTTTTCTTTTTACTGTCACTGTAAGTCACATTTCTGTCCTTTGGTCTATTTTAAAAAATAATTTCCATTTAAATGTTTAATCATGTCTCAGATAGAAAATGAAAGGTGACCAGATGTTGTTATGTCGGTCAAAACTGATAGTGATAAAATAAAATAAACTATAAAAATAACTTCTTAGGCCCTTGAAATATCATGTGTTATTGCTTTTTAATTATTTGAATTTTTTTTTAAATAAAAAAAAAGATAACATATCTAATTCTAATAATCAACAGTTAAACCTAAAATAAGTTAGTCTTAAAATGAGTTTAGAAGTCTTAAGTTTAATGTTGTTTTCTGTTTCTTTGTTGTATAGTTTACAAGAGCTGGTTCAGTCTAGTCGATTGTTATCTCTCAAACTGTTAGATTTCATAATGGCCTGGCAGGTAGGTGGTTTTATATTGTTTGGCTGGGCAGGGGGTTATTATTTCAAATTAAATAACTACATTCTGAAATTATATTTAAATATATATTTTGGAAAAAATTAAAAACCCCCCCCCCCCCACGCGCCTCTTTTTATTTAAAAAAAAATTATCTTAGTAATATTACTTCACATGGCTGGACAACTAACAAATTTTTTTTATTAATCAATAATTTTTTCTTTCATTTTCACCCCAAGGTACCTCACATTGTGACAGAAATAGACACCAATGGTGTGCCTCAGATCAGGGATGAACACTGCTCTCTGTTTCCCTCACAGAACATTCTATTTGATGGCTCCAGGATACATGTATGGAAGGGCCACTGAAAAGACTCAAATTGTGATTTTTTAAAACAAAAATAATTTATTTATGAACAAGTGACTACAGGAGGACTTTCAGAGTGGAATTGCAGAGAAGGACTTTCAGAGAAGGACTTTCACAGTGGACTTACAATTTCCTTGCTGCAGGGATTTTCAGTGCAGAGGATAAATAGTTCAGTTGCCAAAGATTTATTTTTTATTGGGAACAGAACCTGGATGAATGGGTTATACAATTCTTAGACGGTGCCACGTGTGAGAGTGCATGCATTTAAAATTATAATTCTCTTTTTGGTTTCATCAAAAACTCTTATTGAAAGATATAATTTTTATGTGGGAAGCATGGCAAAGAAATGAAAGAGCTTCTAGATGATACAATAATCCTACTGAGGGAGGTGGCTGAGGCAGATTGAAATGTTTCATAGCTAACTCTTGGTACTGAGGATGAATACCTTTGCCAGATAGTTCTTAAGAAACTTTCGGGTACCCATTTACCATCCTGAAAATTTCCTTCTCCGGGTTACTGATTTTCCGCAGAATCTGAAAGGGGTTGAGAGGGGTTGTGTGTATAATTACACAACCCAACAAAACAACTTTGGACATTCAGGTACCTGAATATTTAAGGGGAGGGCCTTTGAGCGGGGGGCTTGGTCCACTTTTCTGAGCCAGCTGCTTCTTCATCATGCCACTGTGATTGGTCACTGATTCTTAGTAGATTGGATTTTTTTCTGTGCAAGATCTTTGATAATCCCTGACAGTAATGCTTTTTTAGGGTTCATCTGTCTATTTTATTTTTACATTGATCTTACAGGTTATGTTTAAACTGAAAAGGGCCCATTGATCTTACAGGTTATGTTTAAATTGAAAAGGGCAGACGTGAAGAGTGGCCATTATGTCAGTATGGCCTTTGCTTGTGCTCCCATAACTCATTAAAAAAAAAAATTAGATAGAAGTATTTAATCTTTTAAAATTTAGTCTTGCAATTAATTACAACCGTGCACTTAAAAAGTTCCAAGTTGGGAGTTTAATTCTTCAAATGATACATTAAAAAAGTACTAGTATTTTAAGTAAATGATGTCTTGGAAGTAATATATACGGTACATAAGTCCTGTATGTTTATTTTGTATGAAGACCTACATTGTACTTAATTTCAACCATCCAGCCTGCAAAGCATACTCAAATCTTCAAATGTACCATTTCATTAGCCAGTTATCATTATCAGTAAACATTTTTAGTATGCTTGACATAATGTTTTTAGAGAGATTCATCTGGCAAAAAAAAAAAAAAAGTGCTCCGTTATTCATCCATGAGGAAATATGCACAAAGATCTAATTGAAGTCCACCCCAAAACATATTTACATTAATGTATCAGAAAGATAAGTTTTGTGCTTGATGCTTCAGTGTTTGAACAATGTGATGTAAACATGTTTTCCAAAATGAAAATGAAAGCTATATATTTTACAATTGACATTCCCCTTGAACTTAATTTCAACCATCCAGTCCTGCAAAGCGTACTCAATCTTCAACGGTTACATTTCATTAGCCAGTTTTCAGTAAACAACTTTAGTATTGTTTTTAAAGAAATTCATCTGGCAGAAAAAATAAAGTTCACTGTTATTCATCCATGAGGAAAATGCCCGCAAACAACAACATATTGACATTAAATTATCAGGAAGATAAGTGTTGTGTTTGCTGCTTCAGAGTTTGAAGAATGTAATGTAAAGATGTTTTCCTAGCTGAAAATAAAAGCTAACCAGTGTTACATTAATTGACATTCCTCTTGAACAAAGTGAAGTGAAAAAAAAAATCATATTACATTCTTCTGGGTTCATTCCTTTAAGTTTAGGCACAAAGCAGTTGTACTTGTTATATTGTTGCTTTCAAAGATAACAATTCCATCAAGCATTGGTTATGACTATGTATTAGGAGTGAAATTTTTTAAAGTTTATCTAGTTTGCTCTTACTCACATGAGCCACAGAAAGCTGTTCTTGTAAATTGATGTATAATTAATTATTCCGTGGAACATTTTTCAACCAGGTACTGTGACATTGTACTTGTGCATTAGTGCTGCATACCATTACTTTGTCATTATACCTTTGTACATAGTACTTGTGTATGAGCTGCGTTGCAATACTGTGACATAGTATTTGTATACCAGAGCTGCACACCAATACTGTGACATAGTATTTGTGTACGAGATCTGTACACCAATACTGTGAATTGTACATACTTGTTTACCAGAGCTGTGTACCATTACTAACAGAGCATTAATTGATGTACTCTCAAAAGATTTCTTTTTTGCTGTAAATCATTTCAATCATGGATCTTTTTATTTCTTTTCATTTAGATGACCATGACAATAAATAAATGCATTAAAAAAAATAATCTGGCTGTGACATTGGTATAGGAATATGTTTTAGTGATGGCACATTCTACAGAAATAATGTATGTTCTGTTGTCATGGTGAGGGTGGGTGGGTGCAGCTTTTTATTCATGTGAAATATCTCTCCATGTACACAGGAAATAAATTATCCAGCATGTTTCACTGTGCACCCCGTTGATCAAGACATATACTAGTAAATGTTGTGTTCATTGTTTAAATATTGGGTTGTACCTTTGAGGACCCTTTAAACACAAATGAAATCAATTATTTAGTTGAGCCTGGCTGTATAATAGATTTCTCAGGCTTTCTATCATTTTGCAAAAATTCTTTGAATTTAGGCAAACCAGAAAATTTACCGTTACAGACATAATATATTCTGTTTACTGCTTGGTGTCGTTGTCACACTGTGACTGCGGGCCTGCTTTTGATGCAACTAGAGTTTTTCTTTAAATTGTACAAAATTTAGGCATCCCACTCTAAACATGTGGCATTCTAGTGTGCCACAGCCCAAGTGTATCACTTCCTCATACTTGAATTATGACCAAACCAAATCTACTCCTGGTACTAAGATAAAATGTTGTCTGCTGATAGAACATAAAAACCAAAACTCATTTAACTTTTGCGCAATAATTTTTTATTATTAACATTAGCTTTGGTCAGTGAGCAAAGACAAAAACTGTTATCCCACTTGTCCTCACACAGCTCAGAGAAAGAAGAGTACCTAAATTTAGTGTGGCATCCAGCATGAGTGAGTTGATGTCCTCAACACTTATCTTCATAATCACACCCGACACCCACCCTTCCCACCTTCACCAACTTGTGTATGCCCCCCACTGCCAGTTACAAAATATAGCAATAACTTTCAATAAGTTCAAAAGAGGTGACCTTATAATTGAACAAGTAAAGGCAATTAGTAGAGTGCATGCATCTATTTATAAAAGGTCAAATAGTCCTTTTTGTTATGGGAGTGAGAAAAACAAGACTAATAAATAGTCACAAATACATACTGTCAATATTTCAGATTGCCACAAACACAAATAAGCTCGCATTTGCCAAACCAGAGTTTGTAAGGATCTGCATTATTTTATCTTCCTTTTTTTTTTCAAGCTACAGATTCAAATTGTGAAAGTATTTAATTTGTGCTTTCATGAAGTTGCAAAATAACTAGTGTTTAAACAATGATCTTGTTAAAAAACAAAACTCATTTTTCATTAAAAGTAATAACAAAGCTAACTACTTCCATTTTTCAAGTGTTTCAGTTTTTAAAAAAGTTCCAAATAGTCATATTTGAGTTATTTGTAAGCATTGTTTATCATAACAAACACAAAACACACAGGTAGAGAGAGATTACTCAAATTTAAAAAAAGACTTATGATTAAAGAACAAATTGAAAACAAAACAACCTTCATACTGACTCCTTTAATAGGCAACCAAGTACACTAATAAAATGGTCAGAAACAAAATAAAAGGTGGGAGAGTGGTCTAGCAAACGAAGTTGTTTACTCTTACTTTCCAAAGGTATTGGTGACAGCATCATGATTGGGCACTAGATAAAATAAACAAATGTATCCATGTGTTGGACTTCAACCCACATGATTATGTATGAGTTGCATACATTAAACAAAAAATAATCAGGGTATAAATTTAGTTTTAGGTGTACAAGAATATTGATATTATAATGATACATTACATATAAAGAAAGTGTATGTGACCTGGGTACAGGGAATGCATCCCGCCAAAAGGTCATAACAATAACACTATTAAATGGAAACTCAAATTATAAACTTTGCTAAGCTGCATGTAATGAAAAATGTGGACAACAATGTCTAAATCAATTGCAAGGTAATTATGTTTTTTTAATACAAAAATATCACTGTCAACTAATACAAATTACTTTTTTTTTTTTAGTTACAGGAGTAATTTGATGCCATCCAAAGAACGTTTTGAACAGTACACAAATAAAATACACAAAAGATTTCAATTGCTACAATGAAAGTGAAGAGTTTGACAGGCACAATGTTGAAGCCATTCTGTTCTGCTAATGAATGTGATCCTTGTTGAAAAGCAGCAATTTTTTTATTTTCATATTTAAAACCACTTAATATGTAGATTATTTTCCTTTTAACTTTTGATTACAATATAACCCATAAAACTTATTTGTAATACTACTTAGAATTGTGTCTCATTCATGGCATATTATTTTTAGATTTCCAGTTCTTGTATATTAGATTAGTAAAATCCTGTCCACTGACATGCTTTGTCCCAGCCACCTCTTACATATCACAATAACCATTTCGTTATCATTGGACATCCAACAAGATTAACATAAACAAAATAAATATAACTTCCAAATAACTAGCTTGTTAAATTAAAAGGTTAAGAGAATCAATAAAAATTAAACTTTTTTTGGTTTGTTTTTTGTTAAAACTGAGAAAAAGGAGGGGAACAAAGTGTTAAAAAGAGAATGCTGGACTAGTTAAAATATAGAACCATACATTAAAAAAAATATGTGGTATATGTTGGATAACAAATGACATATTATTTGTATTGTAAAATCTAGTACTTATCAAACGCCATACCTTAAATAAAATTTAAAAAGTCTATACATAATGTATACCAGTAACTTTCATTATGCATCATATAAAAACAGAAAAGTCGAATTTTGGAAAAAGGGGGGGAGGGGTGGGGGGTTGTTTGTGTGTGTTCTTCTAGGTGTTCAATAAAAAGCTATGGAATCATCTACTGTACCTTAGACAGTTCACACCATGAAAGAAATTATCCAATAATTAAGTCAATTACAGTAAATCTCATACCTGTCAAATTCAATGTTTCTGCTGAAATGTTAAATATCCACACAAAATGCCATGATGAATGAAATATCTAACTCTATGATGGCAGATTTGTAAAAACTGACTTAATGTGATTAAATTTCTAAAAGAACTTAAAAGGTCACAAAATTTGTCATGTGTCCTCCGCCCTCCATTTGGATTACTTTTAAAACAAAAAAAGTTGAATGATGCAAATAAAATCAACATGGTAGGGAAATCATCAACATGAATACGATCCGCAAATCTGTTGTGACCTAGGAAAGATTAACATAAAAATGTAAAGTTACAGCAAAGAATAAATTTAAAACAAGATATCCCGGAGGTTGTTGTCCCACATCTAAAAATAAGATAGCCTTCTTCTGAACATATTGACATAAAAACTTACTCGGTTTCTCAAGAATATTTAAAAAGAATGATTCAATTAAAAAAAATTATATTAACAGTACCCTAAAGCCTAAATGTCTTCAAAATAACCTATTTAAAAATAACCAAACCAGTTATTGGTTGCAACTATTAATTTTACCCCAAAACCTCTATAACATAATTCTAAGATAACCAATGAATTAAAAAACAACAAACAAACAAGGAAATTAACTAGCTCCATTCAGTCTGGTTGAGATCTTACAGAAATTGGTTAAAATTAAATGGGATTAGATGAAAATAAGGACAATTGGAGCAAAATTCTTTAATTATTTTTTTCTCATTAGCTTTGACCTGCAAAGCATGTATTTTTTTAATTATTTTTTTTACAGATTAGGATGGCATAAACATCTGCATCCTTAAAACATGAAATGAGCAAAAAATTTTAAATGGCTGAAATTGCTAATGTACTACAAGAAATCGGTGTCCATACACCCAATTTTAATGAAGCTATTTTTTTTTTTTTTGGAAGGCACATTGTTCTTATTTTGTTTCAATAAAGGAAAAAAAAAAATCACAAAGAAATAAATTTTTTAGTACTCAAGTTGTTATGCTTTTAAAGTTTGAGTCTGCATTAAAGATAAAATCATAAAAAAAAAAAAAAAAAAAAACACCAAAAAAAACCCACACAAACTTAGTATTAAAAGTAACAGAAATTAAAAAAAAAAAAAACTTTTCTTTGGTCTTAAACGAATTTTAACTCTACTGGTTTACATTGAAAATTGGGTTTTCATTGATCTGAAATGTAACCTAAACCTAAGTGGGTGGTTGCTTCTTTTTCTTTTAGGGGTGGTTGGTGATGAAAACCATTCCTGACTACAACCTGATCGGAATAATATGCTAAATTATCTCACTTGTCCTCACACAGACAGATTTAGAAGATACTACCTCTGCACATTAAATATAGTAGAGAAATCCATTTCAAGCTTGGGCATGAGATGTGACCCATTTATAAGCATTCAGAATTTTAAACACATTTTAAAAAGGGGAGGGGGGGGGGAGTTTGGGACCAGATATCAAATCAGCTGAGCTGTTACTCAACTCTTGGTCCTTTTTATAGAATCATTAAAAATTAATAAAGTGCTCTTCATTTTTTTTTCCCTTAAAAAAAAGAAACAACCTATGCCAGCCAAAACCCATGAAGTTAGATTAGTCTACAGCCAATGAATAACATGATCAAACACATTCTCACTGCAATTTCAGTGTCAACACTTGTGTTTTTGAGAGTCAAATTTAATTCATATCAATGGCCTAGACTGAATTACAACAACAAAAAAATAATCAACTTCTACTGGCAATGATGTAACAAACCCTGTAAAACTCTTATGCCATCTTCATACCATCACCCACAAATGATTTCAGGCTTTATTACTAAATAGAACAATGATTTAATTGATGAATGATTGAATTCCTAATCCAAGATGTACCCTCCACCTTAACCAAAACACCAAAGTCATTTATTTTGAAACATATCTTGCTTACTTCTGCCAACTGGTGTAAGAAAATGGCTCATAATCATATCTTTCCCTTACAACCACAAAATGTGTACGCTTTTATTTTTAAGTTGTACTAACTAAACCCCCAGTTTGATAGTATCTAAAAAAAAAACCTAGTAATTCTTGGTCATTGGCAATTAATGACAACAAATTAATTAAAAAAACTTAATTTAACTTTATTATACATAATGTGTAATTATTCATATCAACAGTTTCTATATTCTATAGGAAGTCTACCTTTTTCTTCTTCATCGATTTTAAAATGAATGGTTAATTAATTAATTTTTATAACAAGTATAGAGAGTTTTTTTTTCTGATGTTCAGATTATGAAACTTGTAAATGAAAATATGGTTGGGCCTCTCATCAAGACCCATTATAGACACTTGAATATCAAGCATGAGACAAAGGCAAAGTAAAAGAACTGTGTTACCTTTAAAGGCAGACTTAACTGATAAATCTCTGGTTTTCTTATTTGAAGTGTACACACACTGAGGTATTCCTCTACAAGATTAAATAAGGAGTTGCAAACCTCAGTGACCTATTTCGTTCTATCTATACAACCCATGCTTTTCTCTTTTTAATGAAGTTCATTTTTTATTCTAATAAAAACATATTTGCATTATAAACTGTTACAAATGTATTTAAAGAATAATTTCCCCTGTACACAAGCCAAACATTTTTTGGAGCTTATTTGAAAAGATAGAAGAAATAATATACAGGATTCTTTACAAATAAAATAAGATTTTTTTTTTAAATATTTTTTTTTAATCATACTAATCTTCCTTCCAAGAGTAACAGAACCAATATAATTAAAAAAATTTGCTTCAAGAAAACAAGTTTTAAACATGAAATTCCTCCTTTTTTGTACATTTCAGTAAATTTACAAGATTTGTGCTCCATATTATTACTAACAAACAGTGGGATTATTAGCTCAAAATATAATTGATGATAGAGGTTAAGCTATTCACACCACCGTCGATATAAATTTAACGCCTTGATTTTTATAGCAGTCTCCTTTTGTCACACAGTTTTCCCCCTCAAAAAGGGGAGAGCCTGAAATTTTTTAAAGCACAGTAATAATACATATCACCTAATTTACTAATGGCGCTTTTTTTTATTGCGTCTTCCTTTTTGCTTGGCTGCGGCGGCGGCCGCTGCAGCAGCTGAGCCTGCACCCCCATGCGTCCAGTTTGAATCATCTCCTCCAGAGTGGGGTGGTGCCCATGATGAACTGTGGCTGTCACCAGCAGCTGACGCTGATTTATTAAATAATCTATTGATGAAATCTTCCAAGCTTGGCTCACTAGAGAGTAAGAGGTAACAACATGAGAGATTATAAGAAAAACTAAAGTCTACTAAATTTTTTAATTCTGGAATTTACAAAGAAATATTAAACTAGATTCTATGAATACTTAAGATGGTCAATCATCTTTTTTTTTTCCTCGATGAAACCATTTTTAATTTAAATTTAAAGAGAAAAATGTAATTTATGGGCAGACTTTCCAGAAAAATAATAATTTGAAGGATATTGCTTGATCTCACTGGCACATTTAAACACGCTTAAATTATATATTGAGAAAACTGATAATATAGAAAAACAGAAAGTACCCAGACTGTTGGCGCTTGCTTCTCTTGCTACCATCGGTGGCTATTCTGTACATGACGGCATGTGCATTAGCCTTCATGTTCTTAAAATACTCTTTCTGCAGATATCAAATCATGTTCAGTTGGCATCATTGTCAAATGAATAAACATTTAAATTTTGTAATTTACAATAATTTTTTTTTTTAACACTTTCTTCTAAATCTCCAACACTAGCAACTTGGCTAACTAGAGTGAAATGCTTTTTAAAAAAAAGATGCTAATGGCATCAGAAGATAATCATTTAATTTTTACAGAAATTCAGAATATGTAGCCTGGGCTGTTAATGTACCGTATCTTATTAATTGATTCTGGTGAAACTTTCTAAATGGGATTGCCCAATGGTTGCACAAGTTTAGATTGAACTTACATGACAAGCCATCCACTCAGTAATATCAAAGACCTGACTTTCCATCAAGGCAAAGTAGTGCCAGCGAAAACCTAACATTGTAGACTCTGCCCATACATCACCCTTTGAAAAAAAAATTAAAAAATACATTAGCAGAATTATTTTTTCAAATGTAAGTCTGGGGATGCTCAGGTAACAGTTTCAGTTTTAAAATAAAGTCAAGATAGGGCAGATGATTGTTGGTTTAATTAAATCATTTTAAACTGCCCCATTAAAAGAAATCTTTACAAATCCATCTTGCCAGACAGCTGCAAACTACAGATTAAAGAACAAAATTAATACAATTATAATCCACCTCTTTAGCAGCATGAAAGATGTTACATCACAATTATAATATACCTCTTTAGCAGCATAAAAGATGTTACATCACAGTTATAATCTACTTCTGTAGCAGCAGGAAAGATATTACATCACAATTATAATCTACCTCTTTAGCAGCATGAAAGATGTTACATCTCTGGCAAAATCTGGCACTATAGAAAGGTCGATCCACAGGAAATCGTTGATGTTTGCCTGTACAATTATCACAGCGCATAATGTTGGCAGCCTAAAGAATGAACACATAAAAACACTTACTTATAAAAGTAATTGGATTATTGCTCAATTATTTTAATTACAACCCAAAATATAGAATTAACAAAAAGCACAAGTTAAGGATTTATGCTTAATCAACAAAGAAGTCAAATTATGTTTAAAACTACCTCTTGAATCTTAGTCTGTAGCTTTGACAACATCTCAGCAAATTCTCTCTGAAGAAAGAACAATAATATACAGTTTAGAAATTATTTTGCATGCATGCATTCGTTTCTTTCTAAGGCTTCAACATTATAAGAAAAAACCCCACATGGTTGAAATATTTTTTTAAAAAAACCACTTTACACTGTAAAGACTCTTCTCCTCAACCAAGCAAGGGGACTTAACACGGTGTTCCATCGTTAAATAATATTTTTTATTAAATAAAATAACCACAATTTAAATAGCCATAAAAATATATTATATTTACCTTTTATAGTCTGCATTATAAATAACAATATTAAATCAGAATAATTATACAGCGGAAACTACCCTAAAGCAAACCCTATGTTTGGTGTCTGCTGGTCTTCAACAAATAAAGCTATCTCAAAATTAACATCAATACTTTAAGTCACTGCACGTGTAGAAATCTATTAGGGGTTGTAAAGGGTTAAGTAACTTCCGCACAATGTTTTGTTTTACCAGGAACTGATTAGAATGAGCAGACTTTTTATGTAGATCAGTTATAAAATATATGTTTGACGTACCATTGCTTCTGCTTCATTTGTCTCCTGAGTGTGACTATCATACTGTTTTCTTTTTGACTACAAAAATTGGAAAAAAAAACAACAAAATTATAGCTTTGAAAAGAAAATTTCAGGATGTGTCAAACACAACACATGAGCATGATGAAGGGCACAGATATGGGCTCCGAGATAATGTAGACAATATCCCACAGAACCGAAAACCAATTATATCCTCTTTTTTCTTGTTCTTCTTTCTAATGCACTGCAATGTTGCATTCAGAAGTTGTGGAAGAATACTAATAAACATTATTTTAAAGTTCTATTTCATACAACTCACAGCATCCCCTATCATCTCAAACGCATGACCTAAAATCTTGAATGCTTCTTCTGCACCAGGTTCTTGGTTCTGAAAAAAGAATTTAAAAAAAAATGTCATTAAAATACACTGTTAATCTAACTCATGGCTTTAAAACATTTCAAGTCAAAATGACTAAAATCAATGATTTTTTAAAAATCTTTATGCTTTTTAATTCATCCTTAACAGCCAAGGATAATTTATCAGAGCATGATTATTATAAAATGGTAATATGTGAATAAATCTATCATAATGAGGTCAGGATACGAAAGAATATTACAGATAAATCATGTTTTTAAAACAATTTCTACTTAAACAGGTAAACAACTTAAGGTTATAAATTAAAGAGGAGATTATCATGGCAAATGACAATGTCACATAATATTGTACCAAAATTAATCTATTATAGCACACCTATAAAGTATCGTACCTTATCAGGGTGGACCAGCACTGCTTGCTTTCTATAGTATTTTTTTATATCCTCATCAGTAGCATCAGCCCGTAACCCAAGTATACTGTAAAATGAAGAAAAAGATAACAATTAATCAAACAAACTGAGATGTGACCACACCATCAAAATATAAAAAAGGAAAATAATTTTTTTTTTGTGTGCATCCCTACATTTAGTTGGTTCTTATTCTTTTTTTCCCATGTTTCCCATACTTTGTTTCATTCATTTCCTTATATAGCTGCTATGACAGTAAAATAAAGAAAAGTTAGAAAAAAGTAGCAATGCCTCTGTGATGTCACATCTCTGTATTAATATGTGAAGTAGGTGCATCTTAAGAGAAACATCATCTGTTATTTCAAATTCATTACTGCTATTCCACCATATTTCATGCCTTGTTACTTCTTCCCATTTGTTGGCAGACATTAACTCAATGAAATATTGCATGTGATAATTATTAGATAGTTCATGTAATTCAAGGGCTTCTTCATGGTACAGGACCTTAGGAAACATATTTCATAAAGAGTGAGTTGATGAGTTTTCCATAAAGGTAACAAGGGGATTGGGAATGGACTCCTTAATGCAAATCTAGGGGTCATTTCCCAAAGTTAGGGGTAGTTTACCAAATTTAGGTACAGTTTACCAAAGTTAGGGACAGTTTACCAAAGTTAGGGCATAGTTAAAGCTCATGGCCCTTTCAACTGACAGGTTGAGCCATAGGTCTCTTTAAGACATAATTAAATAGCATTACCTGTATGGGTCTTTTCCTTTACACGCTAGCAAACGTTTCATAGCTTCTTCACCTAAGACAGAGATATTGTCAATGACTATTGAACATGGCATTTGACCAAAATAATTTCTTGGTAAATCCAGAATAGTGGTAATTCTCATAACTCTTTAGGCAAATAAATCCAACAAGCATGATGGCATTATGAACATGGAAGTTTGGTAACAAAGGTGCAAAGTTTGGGTTAAAATATATAAGAACAAAACTGTGACTCTTCCCAATTCAAATCCCATGCTGCCGCCATCTTAAAACTAAGGATGTTAAGCGATAACTGGAATTAAGAATAGTAATCAAATTCATTATTTTGAATCACATTGGAGTTCAAATCAAATAATTCCCCCAATTTTAAACATTATTTTAATAAACCTAATATCAGAATTTGAAGAGGTAGTTTCTTAACCATAATAACATTTTGGTGTCTTCTAGTTAGCAAATTGATGTTGTGATTTCATAAATGTTGTGGTCCTGACCAACGCAATAATTCTTAATTGATATAGACAAATGGGCGGACTATTTCTATACAAAATTGCATGTCTATTCATGGAAATGTGATTAATTACAGCTAATTTTGAAATCTTAGTAGAGAGTTGCAAAATCAAAACGAATGGCAAGAGCCAAAAATTACATTTAAATGCCTAATAGAGTTGAGAATTTCCTATAAATAGACAGATCACCACTATTATAATTATATTTGAAATCTGATCAAGCAACTCCTATAGGACATAGAATTTGTTTTTTATTTACTAAATGACTAAACCTCCTTATGGAAGAAGCATTCCATACACAACATTCATTTTTTTTAAAATACATTAATCTCTCACTATAATACTGCAATTCAAATGAAGAATTACACATTTTCATTATAAAAAAAAATAATAATCTTACCTGTTGATGGTAAATTAATATTTTCCTCCAGCCCCACCCTACGTCTTAAGTGATCTCTAGCATTCCAGTTGTTTCCTTCCTTTTGGTCAGACTGTCCTTTAAAAAGCTTTATTTTTATCCAGGCCCAAGCTTTTACCAGTAGCAACATAAAGAGGCTGACCCCTGCAGAGGTGCTGTTTGAGGTAAAAAATGTGACAGAATTAAGGGATGAAAACTCTTGGAAAAAAGTTTGATCAAAATTCTTTATTAAAAAATGAATTTCTGTATTTAGCATTACATTAAAATTTACTTAAAGACAAGATGAAAAGGTCTGCTCTTGTTTTCATAAACGGTTAAAGGACAAAATATGAAAATAATGCACTTATTCCCTTTTTTTCTTCCAAAAGCTTGTGCTAACGATTTATATGTAATTTTCTAGAGTGTATCATACACTGGCAGACTGGCTGCACACAGACTGTATAAAATTAGTGAAGAGAGATAATTATCTGAGTGAAATCCAAGCTCATCAAAGACATCTTGCTTCAATAGTTGTGTTTTCATCATTACATTATTATGAACTTGGGTTAAGCCCCTACAACAGTATGACTTACATATACAAGATTATACCCAGCAGATATATGAGACTGTTCAACAAGGATGTGATGCAGATGTTTCCCCAGTGGCTAGCTTTTTCCCAGGCTTGACTGCACCATTCCTCTGCACACAGAAAAATGTCTCAGTTACAATTTATCCGGAGTATTAGATTTACTAGCTATGAAAATAAACTTGTCAAAGATTTCAAAAACACTATCTGCCATGTCTTATCCAGTGGTACAAGCAAACAAAATAAACTTTAAATTATGCAAAGCTACCATGGAAAAAATAAAAGACTACATTAAACTGAAATTTTTATAAAAATAGAGAAGTCTCCAAAATCTAGGTAAAATGTTTGGCAATGTATTGAAGCGTTCATCAATTTCTCAAAATATTGTTTTGGATATTTTACTTGATACTTTTTTAAAACTTAACACTGACTTGCCCCTGTTATAAGCATCGGGTAAACTTAACTAAATGTATAAATATGTAAGAAAACATAATTGAACACCTATTTTCTCTTTGTCAAAATGTTCTGTTAAAAGACTTGCTCTTCCTTGCTGATGGTGAGTATCATCATGTAGATCCTCAGATTCTATATGCCCATTATCTGGACTTTTACGCCGCTCTCTGCGATATACCCCATTTGTCTAAAAAAATAAATAAATATAGTACTTTATCACTTGTTTTATAATTTTCATTTTGCATAATTGAATCATAATTGAAATTTATTTGATGACGGATAATCTATCTAACTTGCATTATCAAGAGGTAAGCTAATTTAAAATTATTAAATTACTAGAAAGTATTCATAATTTATCAAAGTCTGTGCCCAGTGAAAATGCATTGTGCATACAAAACTACAACATGAGCATTATTAAAAAAGAAGACATAAATTAGAATTCATAACAGAAACTAATGCTACCTATTCATGAACTTTAAAGGAGAAATTTAATATAAACGATTGACACCATTCTACACTGTCAACATGGCCCTTCACCATTTTTGTGTAATGTCAATGACAAGTTATTATGAGTCATTATGTTGGGTTGTCTTGCATGATATTTTTAAATATGCAGGACATGATTCCCTGACGCATATGTGACACTGTTACTTTAACAATCTCATGTGATAAAAAATATTCTGAAATTCTTCATAATAATTTATTATTATTACCCTTCCTCCGCTGGATCTCTTGGCCGGGCGGGACTCTTTCTGTTTGATCATGTCCTCCGGCTTTCCAGTATTGCCTTGACAACTTTCTGCTGATATCTGATTGGTCAATTTACTGGCATCTCGCAGGTCATTATTGATGTAATCATGCTGGCGTGCACTAGATGGGAGCTTAAGGGAAGTATTGCTGGCTGTTGGTTTACCATTATTGAGGATAGTCTCGTTTAAAGATTTCCCAGTCTCATTCTGAGTATCTTTTGTTTTACTCTGGGGCTGAGCTTTAGACTTGGTAGGCTTTGTCTGAAAGATTCTGCGGGGGTCAAAAAATAAATTTTCCGATGGGCCTTGGTCTTTTTTCCCTTTTGCACCCACTGTCAGTTTCTGCCCTTGGCATAGAACTTCCGTCTCAGAAAAAGATGCATGACTGTTGGGACTAGGTGGATGGTCATCAAGGGCACAAGTTGAACTGCCAGCACTGCTTCCACTTCCCCGTCTGCTTCGAGGCACTTGAGCCAGACTCTCTGAACTGCTGCTATTGCTTCCTGGAGATAGTAGATGATCATCAAAGTTGTCCAGACCATAACGTGAGTTTGACACCACTTTTGGATGCTCTGCATCTCCAGGAGGAGGTGGACTTTTCGGCCAAAATTTGGAGCCTGATGAAGTTCTCTTAACAGCAGGGCCTACAGGTTTTCCATCTTTTCGCACTTGTTTTGAGGCCTGACCCTTACTTGAGTCAACAGTAGCCTGCTCAGGCTTCCCAAATTTAGGGGTTTTAGCAATGTCTGAATAAGATGGCTTTGAGCAGTCTTGCACTGCAGCTTCAGATTGAGGCTCTGAACTTTGTGAATGAGACAAATTTTTATTAATATTGTCTAGGTTAGGAATAATGGTGGAATCAAATGAATTCCACTTTGTTCTGGCTAAATCATGAATGGTTTCATCTTCTCGTTCAGGAGTTATGTTTTCTATGTTAGAGTAGTGACTATCTCTGCCAATTTTTAAGCCAAAATCTAGACTGATATTTGGTGTTGAATTTAGCCTTAAATGATCTACAATCCCTTCATTGGGTGCCACATGTGAAAGACTAGCCGATTTTTCTATATGGTGCCTTTGCACTGGAAATATAGGAGGTGGAGTGCTAGGATCAAATAAAGGGGATGACATTCTTTTCTGAGGCATCCCAAAGTTCCTCTCTTCTTGATCAGAGTTATGGCTTAGCACTTCAGGAAGCACATTCTCAGAAAGCAAGTTGTGTGGAAGAATGTTCATACTGGAAGGACTGGATTCTAAGAATCTCCCTGATCTGTCACTGCCTATATACTGAGCAGGTGATGAGGGATGAGACAGCTGTCGAGGCAGTCTGACATTGGGGCTTGCACCAATTGAATCATACTGGAAAACCTGCTCTAAGGATGGGAGGTTACTCTGGCCCAAATATGTATATCTTTGGGGACTGAAACTAGGACTACCTCCTGATCCATCAGTTATCACTGGATACCCTTGGTTTCTAGCATCACTAATCCAGTCAAACTGATTTTTATTGATAAAACTGTCATGCCGTATAGGACCAGGTGATCCTGAATGAAAAGGGCGATTGGGTTCAACTGGAGAAGAAACTTCAGGTGGAGAGAGGGGCTCAAAATCTGGTAAATCCATTGGGTTCCATGTATATAGGTTTCTAAAGGGAACACTGCCAGGTTGTGGAGATATTCCACTAAATGGTGTCCACTGCACACTGTCCCTTTGGGGTTCATTCCCATGACCTGGTACAGAAGCTAGTTCTGATAACTGTCGTGAGATTTTCCCTAATGGATCTTCGTTATCTTCCATTTCATAAGAAAACACAATTTACATCTGGAAAAAAATTTCAGAGAGGTTTAGTGATTAAAATATGTTTATATTTAAATAATCAATTTAATGCAGAAAATGGCTATTTTTTCCATTTTTTCTGGATAATGGATTATGTGGTGAATGCTAAACAACTACTGTAAAATAAGTGGATTCTTTTTCCAGAGTCAATTTGAATCTTGATTAATATTGAGGATGATGTCCTAATGCCAGCACTGCCATGTGGTAAGGTCAGCAAAATTTTTATTATAATCAGAATGATTACCACAGCCTTTTACTCTACCAGTACTAAGAAAATAATAACTGAAAATTACTTTACTAAATATTAGTCCCACTCTAACACAGAATTATTTCCCTAAACTTAAAGGCTGAGGCATGCTTTGGACGGTTAAAATACGATTAAATATCTTATTTCTTCATTTAATTTTATAGTAGTATTTTATGATTTATATATACATATAGTGTGGCGAATTGTACGTTTCATTCACAACTGAGACTATTTTGGAAAAAGGTAGTCCAACTTGATCTAGGGATGATTATTTAAAAATGAGTTTCACAACATTCAAACGTCAAGTAAATTAACAACACAGTTTTCTCAGGCAATGAGCAAAGCAGAGGAGAAAGACATTCATTTTATGTGCACCAAAAAAACTTACATTTAACAGCCCTAGCCGCAGAGCAAAATAATGATTACAATTTTTTAAAGAGCTCATATAAGGAAAAACATGAATGCGGATCTCCAGATCAAGGCATTTGCCACGACCTAAAAAGAGTTTCTTCCACCCCACACAATCTCAGGAACACTTCAATCAAAAAACATTTCACAAATCCTTCATAATTACCCACATCTCATCACTTATGATACACAACATCCCATTACTACATATAGTTAATATCAAGGGTACTATAGGATTCAAAAGAATGAAAACAGAGTCTAATGACCTTTATAAATGCCTACTTTTAAGTGACATGTATATATTAATGCAAGATTCAAATTTGATATTTACAGAAATAGTTAAGCTATCACATAGTCATGCAATATTTAAATTGTCATAAATTATTTGAAAACAACTATAAGCAGAACTTAAGCTATTTATTGACAGTTTGTCATTTTTTAAGTAATTTAAAATATTGCTTGCAATTCTCTGGAACAAGGCCCTAGTCCTTGAAATCCAAATTTCATTGGCCATATTCAAAAATATAATAGTAATATGAAAAATTGAGAAAATTGATATTTTTTAAAATTTATCACTTAATCTATTATGTTAAATTTACATAGCATTAATTATTTAGCTATTATTGCTATTCATCTTGCTGCATATGACAAAGAACTGAAATCTTTTAATTTTGTTTAATAACATTATTGTTAAGTCACAGACAGACTCACTAAGTCACGGTTTATTTAAATTATTAAATTATATTTATTTCTACATGTCATTGTCATATGTTAAAATACTAATTATTAGCCCTATTATTTTTATTTCTTAGGCATACACATTTTTCTTTATTATTTATCATCCTGTTATTCAATAGTGACAAAGATTAAGTTATTTAACATAATTTTTTTTTTAAATGGAAGGGCTTGACTTAGGGCCTTTAGTCACTTTAGAAATCTACTCTCTATGCCTGTAGACTGAAGGTGTTCTAGCCATTGTAACTGAAGTAATTACAACTCATTTAGTTTTAAGTTTAAGGCACTAGCAAAACAATGTAGGCCTACATACAATACATACATAAATAATTATCATAATAGTACACTAATAACTAATACTAAGTCAAAGTAGAGTCATCTAGGATGTAAGATGTGCAGAAAAAGATGCTATAGACTATGACTGTCTATAGATTGTCAAGACTCGTGAAGCATGGATTGTTTATTTAAAATAGCTCACTATTGGTTATCAGTATTGTTACTATTAAAAGCAAAACTCCATATGCATACTTAACTTTAATTTATAGGCAATTAAAACTACTAACTACCAATTGGTCAAGGCCAAGGCTTACCCAGCCCTAATTAATAAACTATAATTAAGGCATTAAGGAAACAGAATGAGGTATGGATATAAATATCTCCCACATCTTGCTTTAGTAGAAATTGGTGTACTTTCTGTAAGTTTGTTGTTTAGTACTATTAGAAAGAAGTGTCAATGTAGGGCTCAGTGACAGTTTTTTATTTAATTTTGTCAATTCAGACATAACTCTGAAACTGAATAACTCTTTACTGAATTAAATGCTTAACAGGTTCTCAAACGAATGAAAGTAGATACTAATTAATCACTAGTACACAGATTCTTCGCTAGTGAGTTGGTTTTTATTTAAATACTTTATACCTAATGAGGAAATAAAATTATGTTGCAGTATGACTGTGTAGCCACCTCGTACCCCCTCTGTTTTTCTCGGTAGCACTGCAACTCGAAACTATCGTTACAGCTCGTGTGTTACGAGACGAGATTTTTAAGCTTGACCTAAATAATATGATGGATTGGATAAAATAACAGCATAGTAAATACTATTAAATTCTGATGATGCATAACTCCACGAGAACGGAAGATACCGCGATCCCCAGTAAAGATTTATGAAATGTATTTGATTTTGACGTTTGGCTCATGCCATGGGCGCCCGCAGGTAGGGGCAAGGTGGGGCACTTGCCCCCCCCCCCCGGGATTGATTGGATAAAAATTTTTTAGACAAAAATAGACAAAAAAAAATATTAAAGTTAAGAGAAAATAAAGAGAAAGTAAATAAGCTGTTGTCCTGTCCGTTCGTTGGAAGATACCGCGATCCCCAGTAAAGATTTATGAAATGTATTTGATTTTGACGTTTGGCTCATGCCATGGGCGCCCGCAGGTAGGGGCAAGGTGGGGCACTTGCCCCCCCCCCCCCGGGATTGATTGGATAAAAATTTTTTAGACAAAAATAGACAAAAAAAAATATTAAAGTTAAGAGAAAATAAAGAGAAAGTAACTAAGCTGTTGTCCTGTCCGTTCGTTCACCATACAAATACGCTACAGTAAATTAAAACTATATTAAAACATTACTAAAAAAATGTTGCCCCCCCCCCTGGAAAGTTAATCTATTTTTTTTGCCCCCCCCCCAGAAAGTTTTCTGCGGGCGCCCATGGCTCATGCATATATTATTGTTTTTCGTCCTTCGCATGCGAAGATGACCAGGCAATATTCGACTTCAGTAGTAGTCTTGAATTGAGCTGTATTTTGTTTAAAGTGAGGGGCTAAGGGAATTGCTAAATTTGTCAGCCACACTTTCTCGTCCTAGTCCTTGCGTGTTTGATCCAATGGACAGACTTTGTCAAGAAACAAGACGACTGGAAATTGACCATAATGCAGTAGATTACCTTAAGGACATTGTGTACTTATCGCAGGATTTGTCGGAATTTTCATTGCGTCAATGAATTATTGACTGTATTATTCGTAATCTTACATACATACATCTATTACATCTAAAATAATCAACCAGCATATCATTGATATCATGTTTAAGGATCGAACAAGTCCTTGACTGACTAAGTCTCATTTGAACAATGGCATATCATATGTAGGCCTAATATTTGAAGTCGGGAATGGCAACATCATTGTTTAAAATTATTTTAACTAAGATTTTAATTGGGCCATGAACAACAAAATTAATTTTGATTTTGATCAAAATTAATATCCTTCACCGTATCACATTCAATTGATGGTAGAGCCTGATCAGAAACCCATGTCTGTCTCACAGATCGTAAGAAACAATTGAAGACTTAGCGAGAGTTTTGGAAGAGATTCTAGGCAGTCCCATTCAACTATGAATTTCAAAACATAAATACTGACCAGTCCATGACTTTGTGAAATTCAATATCAGCTGCCTTTATGTGTCTTTTAAGCTTGTGTATGCTTTTAAAATTTCATCTTCTGATGACTCATCATAGACAGAGGTTAATTTGGAACGGACACCAATAACTCTTCTTAACTTGCTGATAGTAGACTCTTGGATTGAAAAGCCCCAAACATATCTGCTACTTCCTTTATCACTGATGATCTGATCTGGGGTTCAGAATGAAAGCAATCAATACACTCCAGCGTCTCCCTTCTGTTTTCTTCTCACCGAAAGAGTCCAGCATCTATATTTTTTTCCCCCTGCCATTTTCTTATTTAAGCCTTAATCTTCTCTCTACCGAAATTCCATATCTGTCTGATTTTAAAAGTTCATTTTCAATAGCATGTTCCATAAAGTGACAGCACTTTACGTGCAGAAAAAAAAGCTTAAGATCTCTAGGTTAGTTGCCACTTTGTCAAGAGTAAACCTTTAGTCTGCAGATAGTGCGGTGTAAGATTAACGTCCTTATTTAGATCATTCCAAAGGTAAAGGAAGCAAATAAGCTAGAAATCACAGACAGTATATAAAAGAGCTTTTGCTGTATGACCCTGTGCTCAAATCTTAAGGGGTACCGTACTAATGATGAACCAGCGAAAATATTAATTTTTGAGTATTTTTGGGGTTTCGATTTATTTGGTTTCAAAAACCATTTTAAAAAAATAAATACATTTAAATTAATTATTGAAAGATTTTAGAACATTTTGTAAAATATTATTTTGTTAACCCTATAAATGGTTAAAAAGTCATTTTATGTTGTTTTAATTTTTACCTATTCGATTTATGTACTTAGAATCGCCCAACCACATAGTATTTGGTTTCCGTAGAACGCTTTATTTCTCAAAATTTAGATTAAATATAGTTTCCTGTCACTCATGAAAGTTACCGAACACTTCAAATCGGCGTTGAATCATGGTCAAAACGGTGTTTTTCTGACCCGATTTTAGGGTAAACTCATTGCTAACGCACCAACCTTGAACTTTTAATTAAGAACGCATTAGGAATGGTTACATGTGTGGAAAATTTACGTGTGATCGGTTATCTTAATTCAAATCAGGGGTGGCTAACACGAGGCCCGTGGGCCCCACGTGACCCGCCGGGAGTCATGTTGCGGCCCGCGGAGCTAGGTCAAACGAACATAATAAATGTTACCTTAATTGTACTTATCACCGAAAGAACATTACATCATGAGTCGTTCGTTTCATATATTTTTAAATGTTAGCTAGGAGAAATGTGAAATATCTCGCATTTTTGGAAAAATTCATTGGTTTTGAGCTATTTAAAAATTAAGAAGTTTTAAAGAAAGGTGGACTATAAACTATTTAAATTTGGTTTCGTGAAAATTCAAACAGAGCCCATTTGCTTGAAATCTGTTTCTGTTTTGAAAGAGTATAACATCAAACGCCACCACGAGACTAAACATGCAAATAAGCTTGATAAGTACAAAGAGCAATTACAAAAAGACCAAGCAAATGACTTAAAAAATAATAATTCTGCACAACAAAAGATATTTACTGGAGCGGGTTCAGGGTCAACATGCTTTAATATAAAGCTAGTTATGCAGTAGCCATGAAACTAGCAAAAAAAAAAAATCAAAAAAAAATCGAAGCCATATTCAGATGGTGAGGAAATGGTTAAGGAATGTTTGGAGAGCGTCGTTTAAATTCTGTGTCCAGAAAAATAAGCATATTTCTAAAAAAATAAATCTGTCTCGTCAAACTATTACTAGCCGCGTGGACGAAATTGGAAAAACATATTGAAGATAATTTGAAAAGTCGAGCATCCGAGTTTATATTTTATGCTCTAGCATTGGATGAAACCACATGTATGGCAGATACTGTCGAACTGGCAATTTTTATCAGGGGTGTTGATGTCCATCTTAAAAAAGATCGACAGAAGAATTAGCGGCACAGTATCCACTTAAGGACACAACTAAGTCACGAGATTTGTTAGAGGCAGTTATATCGGCATTTAATCATTTTTCGTTAAAACTGAACAATTTATCGGGCTTAACAAAGGATGATGCTCCAGCAATGGTTGGGAAAAACGAAGTTTCAATAAAATTGATTGAAAATGAGGTCTCCATAGTTAGTAACACTTCAAACACTTCATTGCATTATTCATCAGGATAATTTATGTTCGAAGTACCTCAAAATGGACCATGTCATGAAAGTGGTCGTCAAAATAGTGGTCTTCAATAAGTCGAACGGGTTGAATCTCTGTCAGTTCAATTATTTTGTAAAGTCTTTTTTTTATCAGTTTATAATGACGTTTTAAGCAGAAGTAAGATGGCTGACCCGTGCCGCCATGCCAAAATGTTGAAAAGAGTGTTTGATTTGCAGCAAGAATTACAAGCTTTCTTTGCAAGCAAGTCAATAAGTATCCCAGACCTTGAAGACAAAGAGTGGTATGCAACTTTGTATTTCTGGTCGATATAACTAGCCCCCAAAATGACGTCTTTGGGAATCAACAGTCGAGGACAAAAAACGTTACTCCCTTTCTTATATTACCATTGCAACTAGGCGTCACAAATGAGGCGGTGGATACATACGCCTCTTTGGCTTTTGACTTAAACCTCGAATTTTAAAATCGATTTCAGGATTTTAAAAAAAAAAATATCATGTGCTTTTTTTTCTCCTCCATATGCAATGCCATTCGCGGTAGACGTGAGTTTATTACGCGGAATATTACAAATGGAACATTGTGAAATGTGCTGTGATACACAGTTAAAGGAGATATTCCATCAAGTAGGTTTAGAAGAGTTCTATTTGGTCAAGGATCAATATTCTGCGCTTTACAAACATGTTCTTTCCATGGTTTCGCTGTTTGGAAAAAACACTGATGCGAGTGAACAGCTTTTTTTTTTTTTTTGTTGTCGTATGAAACACATCACGTCACATGCAAGGGAGATCACGAATTGTTGATGTTCATTTGGAAAACTGCGTGTAGCGACACCATCAGTCGAGATCAAAATTGATGCATTTTTTTTTTCTCCTGCAAAACTAAGTCAGATGTCTCACTTTTAAATATATTTAAATTTTCTAATGTTTAATTTTCAGACATGTTTTGTTTTCTTTAAAAAAACAAAAAAAACAAACAAAACAACTATACCCATTTCTTTTTTTACATTAAACCAGCTTGACCACGATTTCATCTACTGGAAAGCGACGATGTGGTCAAAGCTGTAGCACGTTTGCTTGTTTACTTTAATTAACAAATAGGTGCGTGGCCCAGCAGGAAATATTAATTCTGAAATTTTGCTTACCTGCTGAAAAAGTTTGGCCACCCTCCCCTGATGTAAATTAAATATGTTGGTTGTTGCTCATCTTATTTAAAAGTTACAATTACGTGAATGTCCATAATACATGTGCGGTAAATATTTGCTGACACAGTTCACAGTAAGCCTGGTTTAAACGATGGGACACTAAACTAAGTATGCAGGTGATGAGATTAAACGATAATAAAGGAAGGACTGCGCTCAAGCTGTGGGAAGGAAATAGTGGAACAAGGTATGTGGAAGCTTGAAATATAAAGACAGTACAATATAAATTACCCCCATCTCCCCCCCCCCC